AGAGCACCTGGTGGATTCAGACTGCTGACCTTTTTATTAGCAGCCATAGTTCTAACCACTAGGCAACCAGGGTTTCCTTTGATGATTTTAAAACATGCTCCCAAATTACTTGACATCCCTCCTCAGAAGCAGTAGAGCCTATGTCACCTCCCCTTGAGCCTAGGTAGAACTTTGTGACTGCCTCAACCAATGTAATAGAGCAGAAGTGATGCTAGATTAGAAAATGCCTTATAGCTTCTGCCTGTTTGTCTTGATTCCCTTTTGTATTGGGAGCCTTTGACTGACACATAAGAAGTGTGGCTACTCTGAGACCACAATGAGCAGGTGCAAACTAGAGAGAAGAGTGGCGAGGAGCCCAAATTATTCCAGCACCTAGCAGTTTGAGTTTTCCCAAATTGCATACCATACATGTGAGTGACTAGTCTTTGAGATGGCCTCAGTTGCAGCCATCTCTGGCTGCAACCTTAGGAGTGATCACAAGCAGAAAGTACCTACCTGAGCCTAGTCAACACCAGATTTGTGAACAAAATAAATGATTGTCCAAGCAACAATTTAAGCCTGAGTTGTTATTGTTGTTGTAGTTTGGTGCCATTGAGTCGATTCCGACTCATAGCGATTCCAAGTGACACAGGAGAACTGCCCCATAGGGTTTTCTTGGCTGTAATCTTTACTGAAATAGATTGCCAGGTGTTTTTCCTACAGGGCCACTGAGTGGGTTCAACTTTTAACATTTCAGTTAGCAGCGAGCGCTTAACTGTTGTGCCACCAGCAGTTACACAATGGTTACAATTACCCCTTAACTCACAGCGTGGTTGTTATGATCACATCCATTATTACGAGGCAAGTATCTCACATAGAGTAGGCAATCCTCAGAGGCAAATTTTCTTTCCTTAAAATGCATCCATGCACCCATGTATTCGTAAACCTTTACGAACACCAAATGTTTCCTGTTTATGGGAAATCAGGAGACTCATTTTTACCTATAAAGAATAGCAAATGCCATTTAATGAAATTGTTGTTAGTTACTCTCAAGTTGATTCTGACTCACGGCAACCCCATGTGACATCTCTGGTAAATTCTCACCTTCCATGTGGGAAACCTGAGTACTATTCATGGCCAATAGGCCTTAAGTGCAGTCACCATCCATCAGCGGAGGTCTATGTGCCGTTATGATGTTGAACAGATTTCAGCAGAGCTTCCAGATTAAGACAGACTAGGAAGAAAGGGTTGGCAATCTTCTTCCAAAAATCAACCAGTGAATACCCTATAAATCACAATGGTTCAGTTTGGTTACGCATGGGGTCGCCATGAGTCGGGGGTTGTATGATGGCAGCTAACAACAACGAAGATTAAATAAGGTTTGAAAAATGGTAATATTTTTTCTTTCTTTAACTGAGTTTTAATATAATTATGTATTTTTCTGATTATGAAAACTATGTTTCTTGTCAAAATATTTAAAAAGGGATTGCACAAATAAAGATAATACCCACAATCCCACCATACAGCGATAATCATTCTTAGTATCTCACCTATATTGAATTTATAAGTAAAGAAAATGTGTATGTATTGATATACGTGTATTTCTACAGTTTGTAAAAGTGTCAGATAGTCCTAATGAATATTCTTTATCCAATTACTAAACAAAATTATCTTTCTTAGAATAATAATTCTACTCTGTAGAGTTCAAGTAACTTACTTTTTTTTAAAACTCAGTAGCTAATAAGTTTATGTTGTAGTTGTTGTTAGTTACAGTCAAGTTGATTCTGACTCCTGGCGACCCCCTGTGTGCAGAGTAGAACTGCTCCATAGGGTTTTCAAGGCTGTGACCTTTTGGAAGCAGATTGCCAGGCCTGTTTTCCAAGGCACCTCTGAGTGGGTTTGAACCGCTAACCTTTCAGCTAGTAATTGAGCGCTTAATTGTTTATACCACCCAGGGATTATATATACCTTTATTTAAAAACTATCTTTGATATAAGAATTTTATTCTTTTTGGATGTTTATTGGGACTTTTCTCAATATTACTATTGTCTATACTCATTTATGGCATTGGAATACATCTTATCGCTATGTACTTTATTAAAAATAGGGATGACATCATGATGAATTTTCAAGATATGTAATTAACACTTTATATTACCAATTTTTTTGTTGTTGTTATACATGCACTCCAGTACTAGATTATGTAAATATCATGGCTTAAAATAGAATGCATCTCAGTTACACAATAAATGGTTTATTTTAAGACCTGGAAAATTAGGAAAAATCAACATTTTATTTTTTTTTTTACATCTTTACTAGTATTCTCTTAAATTCTGTATTCACTAGACTTTCTTCACCTCTATTAACATTCCTTACAAAATTCTATAATAACCTTCACAACAAGCTATAAACTAGGCAGTAGTCCAACAACCCATCGTATGTTATTAATATTATTATGCTTATGAGGAATAATGCAACTCAGCATTTATAAAGAAATTTTCTTATGGGTATCTTAAGTGTCATAAACATCTGGAAGAGGTAATAATTATATACTTACATTATAAAGAAATTTAAGAAAGGAATATTAAACATCTCTTGAAATGACCATAATGTGAGTCAGAATCATATTTCTAGAGAACTGAAATCTTCATACTGAATTCAATGTATTATTCATGTATAATGTTTTTTGTTGCCCTTGTTGTTTGTTTTCTGAAGTATTTTAACACTTTTTCCTTTCTGGCAGTCCTTCCACAGCCCAAGGTAGATTCTGTCTTGGTTAACAATTGTGAGAGAACAAACTAAAAATTTATAATTGTTTATTTATATCTGCAATTTTAGATGTTTTATATTGAAAGAGTTCATAGACTCTCTAGTTCTTCATATTTCTGAAAACAAGAGTATATTTATTATTTTTAAACCACTCTACACATAATTTCACCAAAATGTTTTCTTAAAGTTCTCCAATACATTTTCAATGTAAAAAATATAAAATCAAATCTTTACTCATGGCACTTTGTTAATCACCAAGTCATCAGTTTTAATTATTTGATCCCCAAACCATTATTACTTCTTGGGGTAGTTTTTCCGTATTAATATTTCCTGATGTATATAGGTTGATATAAAACCCTTAAGAGTCATAATTAATTGAATGATAATATATATATTTTTTAATGAACAGAAATTTATTTTCTCAAGGTTTAAGAGGCTAAAAGTTAAATTCAGGGCACTGGCTCTAGGGGAAGTCTCTTTCTGTCTGCTCTGAGGGAAAATCCTTGACTCTTTCAGCTTCTCTTCCTTGGTCCTTGGTTTCTTGGCATTAATCTTTCTCCATTGTGCTTCCTTCTGTGCCTGATCTGCTTTTTCATATCTCAGAAGTGATTGGCTTAAAACACTCCCTACACTACATGACCTCATTAACATAATAAAGAAATACCTATTCCTAAATGGGATTACAACCACAGGTATAAAGGTGAGGATTTATAATTCATAATTTTCGGGGGGCACAATTGAATCTGTAACACTTGATGAATGCTCTGACATTACTAGCTGTTAATTTTGACATTGCTAACTAAGATACTAAGCCTTAGCTTGTTGTGAAGCCTAATTTAATAATTGTTAACTTTATTTAGCACTTTCTGTGTGGGATAGAATCTATAGATCCATCCATATGTGATCAAATTGACAGCAGCGACTTGAAAGATTAGGCAGGAACCTTAGGGGCAGTGAGTTTATGTTAATATGTTATGTTAATAGGGTAGGAACAACTCAAAAAAGGAGGATGAGAATGGCTGAACAACGAGAAGAATGTAATCAACATCACTGAATTGTATATGTAGAAACTTGAATTAGTGTACATTTTTGCTGCATATATTCTCAACAACAACTGTCTTAGTTATCTAGTATTGCTATAACAGAAATACTACAAGTGGATGGCTTTAACAAACAGAAATATATTCTCTCACAGTTCAGGAGGCTAGAAGTCCAAATTCAGGGCACCGCCCTAGGGGAAGGCTTTGTCTCTATGTAGGGTCTGGAGGAAGGTCCTTGTCCCCTTTCAACATCCGTGGGCCCAGTGTTCCTTAGAGATCTCCATCTGTCTTGACATCAATCTTCCCCTGTGTCTAGCAGGTTCTTCGTACAGGGACCCCACGTCCAAAGGAAGTGCTCTTCTTCTAGCTCTTCTTTCTTGGTGGTAGGGAGGTCCCTCTATCTCTGCTTGCTTCTCTCTGTTTTTATCTCTTGTAGGAGAGTGAAAGGTGCTGTCTCAAGATACATTCCACTCTAATCCTACCTCATTAACATAACAAACATAACCTAATTCTCATTAACATGTCCTAATCCTGCCTTATTAACATAACGGACAGCTCACTCTCAAATGGTACTATACCCACAAGCATAGAGGGTAGGATTTACAACACATCACAAAATGGAGGATAATTACTTCATAAAATGAAGGACAACCACACAATACTGGGGATCATGGCCTAGCCAAGTTAGCACATATTTTGGGGGGACACAATTAAATCCATGATGACAACAAAAATAAAATAAAATTATTTAAAAAAACAAAAGAAAACCAAGCTTTGGCATAAAGAACAAGTCCATGGAGCTCAAAGTGCTGATAACACCTCGGCCAAGCTCAAAGTGCTGATAAAACCTCCGAGCCACACAGCAGATGTGGTATGAGCATGCTGGCCTCTCCTGGACTCCCCTGTGGCAATACCTACTTGTCATGGGAGAGTTGGTATTTTCCCAGCAGATCCAGTTCAGAGTCTCCTCTCTGGTTACAATGATTTGAGATAGAGGAACACTTTGGGAATAGAGCAGACTATGTGAAGTCATGGAGAAACATCTAAAGATTTCCTTCTGATTATACAGATTTATAATCAGTTAATTAAAAAAAAAAATTCTGCCACCTCACATTATATAGAACTGCACAATTCACAAAACAGTTTCATACTTATTTCCTAGCTCTGACACTTTCTTGCTGAATTTCTTTGGGCAATTTACTTACCTTCTCTGCTTTTTAATTTCCTTGTCTGAAAAATTAAGATAATGATAATTCAATTATTTTCAAATGTCACTTTCAGATATTATGACATATTGTCTTTAATTAGGTAGAAACAATAAAATATTAAAACTATATTTTTATAATGGTTAAAACTCTGTTTCTTTGAGAGGATTTAAGCTCATCCATCTCAACTTTGTGCCTTGTCCACTTAATAATTTAAATAACAACAATTACAATAATAATAAAAAGAGAGCAATATAAAATCACTAGAATTTAAAGAGTAACCTTATTCTTTTTCTTCTTTTTTTATTCTTGTACTTTAGATGAAGGTTTTAGAACAAACTAGCTCCTCATTAAACAATTAGTACACATATTGTTTTGTGACATTGGTTACCAACCCCATGACATGTCAACACTCTTCCCTTCTCGACCTTGGGTTCCCTATTACCAGCTTTCCTCTCCCCTCCTGCCTTCTAGTCCTTGACACTGGGCTGCCTTCTAGTCCTTGACACTGGGCTGGTGTGCCCATTTAGTCTCCTTTTGTTTATGGGCCTGTCTAATCTTTGGATGAACGGTGAACCTTGGGAGTGACTTCATTACTGAGCTAAAAGGGTGTCCAGGGGCCATACTTCCAACTCCAGTCTCTGTCAGGCTGGTAAGTCTGGTCTTTTTTTGTGAGTTAGAATTTTGTTCTACATTTTTCTCCAGCTGTATCCGGGACCCTCTATTATGATGGCTGTCAGAGCAGTCAGTGGTGGTAGCCAGGCACCATCTAGTTGTGCTGGACTCAGTCTGATGTCTGTGGTAGTTGTGGTCTATTAGTCCCCTGGAGTAATCTTTCCCTTGTGTCTTTGCTTTTATTCATTCTCCATTGCTCCCAACAGGGTGAGACCAGTGGAGTATCTTAGATGGCTGCTCACAAGCTTTTAAGTCCCCAGACACTGAGTAACCTCATTCTTGACAACATTCTAATAAGTGACTTACATTTCTTATTTAAATTCATCCTCATAACAGATCTATGATTTTTATTCCAATATAATCCTGAATTTATACATGAAAAAGTTATGGAAATTTATAGATGGAAAGCTTATGTCATTTATCAAAATCAAACAGCTAGCAAGTTGCAGAGATGTCGCTTATCTCTGTATCTGTCTAAGTCCAAAGCCCTAACTCTTAACATCACATCCTCCTATCTCCTTGTTTCTGTTAAATTAAAAGTGTGGTCTTCTGGAGAACTCCTCATGGAGTCAATTTCAGTTCCATGATTATATACAGAACTAATGTCCCTAGAGAGAATCCAATATTGTAATTTGTCTAGAATAGTTCTACTTTAAGTTGTTTAAACACGTTATTAAAATCTTAACACCTCTGTTTTATTTCTTGATTCAAACATAACACTGCTCTAGTGTCTGATTTTCGATGTTTCATTACAGATAATAATGTGTTCATCAAAATCTCCGAATCACTCTGTATTTAGCCTAGGCTTTAGCACTGAGAGAGACTTAAAACTTTCTAATAGTCAGGTGGCAAAGAGAAATGGTAAACAGTATTTATTCCCCAAAGAAATTCAGTTATTTCGTGAAGGCTAGTTGATGTAAAAGAATAATGTTCTGATGAATGGAGACCTAAATGATTATTTCTAGTTGTTGTCTCACTAAATGTGATTAGGGATTTAAAAAAAAAAAACAAAAAACAAAAAAACTTTACATAGCTGAGAACTAATAATGAAGGAGCCCAGGAAGCCCGCATGCTGATACTGCATCCTGCAGGCTCAAATAGAGATTTCTCCCATCTAGTAAATAAGCATTCTTTTGATTCAGAGTAACTATTTGGCCCAGGTAAATGATTGTCCTAAGACTGAGAACAAGACATGAGCTGTAGCTAGAATTGCAAGAAAGTAGAGCCCAGACCACCATCTTAACTACATCAAAATAAATATTTAGATCAATTCGGGTAGGCTGAAATAAGGAATTGGTTTTCAAAACATATTATTTTCATACATTTATAATTTCTCTGCTCATCATCTCTATATAACATCATACTATAATGTTATACTATATCTCTGGATATTACTATATTTAAAATGGTTAGAGATAATTGTAATTCTGCAGAATGGATTAGTTTTGTAATAATTCTTATAAATACAGCTCTGTCTCCAGAAAGTATGCATTTCTAAAAAGCATAATGTGTGTAAAAAATAATTCATGTATTCCCTTCAGAATCTTCTGCCTCACAATAGGGGCAAAAATTTTTCTGTCTTAATTCATCTTATTCTCTTGATTCTCACTGTCTCCTCTCCATCCCCCTTTTTTTTTTTTAATTATAGGATTAAAAAAAAAAGTTCTGTGTTGAGATTCAGTTTACTGCAAGTTTTATATGCGTATGTATATCTCTATCTATATATGAAATCTAACCCAACCCAGTTAAAACAAATATAGAATTGTTATGGTTCATAAAACTGGGAAGTTCCATTATGAAGCTAATTTCAGGCCTAGCTGGATCCAGGGATGATTCAATCCAGAACTTATTTCTTTATCTTTTGGTTCTGCTTCCCTGCATATACTGGCTTTATTTGAAGGTAGACTCTGTTAACCTTGACTCTGTCTTCTCAGGCCACAATCCAAAAGAAAGAAAGACTAGATTAACTTAAAAGAAAATCTAGTTGGCACTACTTGAGTAAAATTCTCGCCTCCAAACCAAACAAAATTCCAGAAAATGGGATTTTCTGATTGACCAGTCTGGATCACTTCACCCCTTAGATGGTGTGTGTTAGGATACCACAATTAAGATTACATACCTCCACCACCACTAGACCACATGGCATCAGATTTCCTCAAATAAAAAGATGCTATGCATACAAACAGCATCGATCTTTTATGGGTAGTATAACCATACATACTAGTTTGCCTGATTTATGCCTGCTGCCTGACCTAATTAATAATAGAGCCTCCTTTCATCCTCCAAAGTATGTAGATTTAGATGTATATTATAAAGTCACTGTATCTATGGGTAAGATTTCATCTTTTATTTCTCTTAAATGGGAAGTGAGTGCTTTTAGATCCACTGAGAGAAGTTGAAATTTTTTCTTTCATTCAGTTTATCTATTAATTAAAGAAAGAGCCTATATTTATTCTGTCTTTTTAATGTGTAGAGAAGGAATTTCGAGAGAATGAAAAGAACAACTAAATTGTTTTCAGTAAAGCATCAGTTGGACAAGCGTCAATTTTTTGGCAGGGACCCTGACTACTCACAAAGTGAAAGTAAGTTTTCTTCACAGGCGTTGTCTGATTCTTTATTTCCCCAAAGAAGAGAGAAGCTATTTGTGTTGGAAAGAATTATGTGGATATAAAGATATGGAGTCAAGGGCTGCATCACATGCCTTGTTCCCAGTCAAAATAGACCCATTGCCGTCGAGTTGATTCTGACTCACAGTGACCCTATAGGACAGAGTAGAACTGCCCCAGAGGGTTTCCAAGGAGTGGCTGGCAGATTCAAACTGCCGACCTTTTGGTTAGCAGCCAAGCTCCTTACCACTGCACCACCAGGGCTTCCTAATATCCCTGGGGAAGAAAAAATATATATACTAATGATAAGAAAGTGTATGTTATGTTTATAATTTACATTTATATTATGTTTATAATAATTGAAATATTACCTAAGAGAAATACAGAACATAAAACATAATAGTACATTAAATCTCATGGTGCTTTATGTTCTGAAAATGTGTGAGCATTAAAAAATATGTTTTATCAAATAGAATTTGATCCCAAAGATAAATATGAAGCTATTTCAAACAAAAATGCTATCATTTAAGGTACTTTTGACTTTAAGTAACGGTACACTGACTAATGGAGGGTCAAATAATGTAGATTTATATTTTCCAAAAACAAGAAATCCAGACATTGGTGGTACCAGGCTGATTTCAGCATCTTGATGATGCCATTAGGTAGCCAGGATCTTTCTGTCTTTTGTTCTGCTCTTCACAGCCTATCTTCATTCTACAAACGCGACTTGTTTTCTGGACATCCAGTGGTTGGAACAGCTCCAAGTCTCACATCCTTGCTCAATAACTATTTTATTTATTTGTTTTTAAGTATGAAAGGAAAGCCAGAAGCATCCCTCTTAATACATTGTATCTCTTTGTGAACATCTTTTCTAGAAGCCCATAAAAAACATCCTGTTATATCTAATAGACCAGAATGGGGTCACTTGTGCATATCTTTGCAGAAGGCAGGCTTGGAAAAATGAGTACCTGGCATTTCCAGCCTCTCTGGAAGCAGGTGGTATCTCCCTGCATGGAAGAAGAGGGAAGAAATAGTTATTAGAAAGCTTACCAATGGTCCTGACAGTCAACCATTATTCTCTCAAAGTGGATACCATCCACCACTGCAATGCCCCCTTGTGTAGGTATGTGTGCATGTGTGTGTGTATGAAATACTGTTAACAGATATACACTTCTGATGCTATACCAATGCATGGAACCCACACATTTATTTGGTTTTCCCTCTGAAGCGCACAATCTGTACAATGGAAAGTTGCAAAATAATACCACTTTTAAGCAGTTCTATTGTGAAGATGTTGGAATAAAGGTCTGGCAATCTACTTCTGCAAGGTCACAGCCATTGAATACCCTATGGAGGCTACCTCTTCTGACTCACTTAGGGTCACCGAGAGTGAGAATTGACACAATGGCACTTGTTTTTTTTTGTTTATTGTAAAGCTGTCTTCTCTACTTGGTTAAGCAGACATTCGTTTCAACTCAATATTTTTCATAAAGTGGAAATTTCACATCTCTAACTTGACAAAGGTGCCACAAGTGCTAAGCGTTTCACTTAGAATGGGACTGCTGACCTAAACTTCCGAGCTGAGTGGCTCCAGAGCCATTACCTAATGATGAGACACTAACAGTACTTAGCGAGTATAAAGAACAGGAGAGAAAAATCAGAATCTATTTTTGTTTATTCTTTATCACTACATTTAATAATACATATTTTTCTACACTTTGTGTGAATTTCAGGGACCTCCTATTTAATACCTTTTCACTAAAAGCATGCTGAGGGCTTTTTTATTCATAGTGCGTTTATTTCCTAGCTTCAGCTTCTATTCTACCTTTGGTGCTTGAATAGTAAAAAATAGGAAAATATGCATATAATGCTAATAATTAAGCACAAAAAAAGCCACAGAATTGACTGAGAAAGAGATATATATTAACTTATAATGTTAGTGCTTGAAAACGAAAACTGCTGTTTCTGATTCTGTGAAGATTCTGAAAATGGCTTCTAGTCACTTCCAAGGGACTGCTTACAGCATTGTTAACATGTTTTAATGTCTAGATTTACTTAAAAACTGATGCATTTGATTTTCCTTCATGTGAGTGTATTACTAGCAGCTGGTTATTAGCCAGGGACAGACTGATTTTGGTTTACAGATGAGAGGAGGGAAAGGAACAAAAAGGAAAATTCCTGAAGCAACCAAGAAACTGTTAAAAATGAGAAGTTAAAGAGTAAAGTAATTAAAGACAAAATGAGTGACTTGAATATGTTGGGAATAAGGTAACATTCAAATGCACACATTAGGGAAGTAGGAAGATATGCATCATGCTTTTAACCTGTTGCCATCGAGTCAATTCCGACTATAGCAACCCTATAGGACAGAGTAGAGCTGACCCATAGGGTGTCCAAGGAGCAGCTGGTGGATTTGAATTGCTGACCTTTTGGTTAGCAGCTGCAACTCTTAAACACTGCACCACCAGGGCTCCATCATGTTCTTAAAAATCCCAAAGGGAAACATATATTTAGGGAAAATTGCTTGAAAATGAACACACTTTATTACAGTGAGGCTGTGGCTTTAAACTCCCCCTACAAAATATTTTTGAGATAATGCTAGGGAAGATTTTTTGATGTAACATGGAAACAGCCTAAAAAGAAAGCAGGCTGGAGGGCTTGCTTTTTCTAGCAATCTCCTAATGAATGAAAGAATGGTAAATACTGAAAATTAAAAGAACATGAATGAAAAAGAACTTTCCTAGCCCAGACAAGAGCTTTTTCTGGTAGAGACAGAGTAACAAATTGCATGACATTTACCATACCTTAATAATTATAATTAAAACATTATATAAAGTTATTGATTTTAATGGGTATTTAATTCATTAATTTGTATATTTTATTATTAACACCATTGGCATTCTCTCTATTTTGATACATAGATATTTAGAGGATTCAGTCATAGTTTCTTTAGGAAAGCATTATATAGCTATCTATACCAGAAAGATATTTACCTGTGTTTTATTGACTATGCAAAAGCATTTGACTGTGTGGATCATAACAAATTATGGATAACATTGTGAAGAATGGGAATTCCAGAACACTTTTGCTCATGAGGAACCTGGACATAGATCAAGAGGCAGTCTTTCGAACAGCACAAGGGGATACTGTGTGGTTTAAAATCAGGAAAGGTGTGCGTTGGGGTTGTATCCTTTCACCATACTTATTCAATCTGTATGTTGAGCAAATAATCCGAGAAACCAGACTGTATGAAGAAGAACGGAGCATCAGGATGGGAGGAAGACTCATTAACAACCTGCATTATACGGATGAGATAAACTTGCTTGCTGAAAGTGAAGAGGACTTAAAGCACTTAGTGATAAAGATTAAAGACCACAGCCTTCAGTATGGATTACACCTCAACATAAAACAAAAATCCTCACAACTGGACCAATAAGCAACATCATGATAAACAGAGAAAAAAATTAAAGTTGTCAAGAATTTCATTTTACTTAGATCCACAATCAACACCCATGTAAGCAGCAGTCAAGAAATCAACGGACACATTGCATCAGGCAAATCTGCTGCAAAAGACTTCTTTAAAGTGTTAAAAAGCAAAGATGTCACTTTAAAGACTAAGGTGGCCTGACCCAAGCCATGATGTTTTCAATTGCCTCATATGCATGGGAGAGCTGGGCAATGAATAAGGAAGACTGAAGAAGAATTGACGCCTTTGATTTATGGTATTGACGAAGAATATTGAATATACCATGGACTGCCAAAAGAACAAACAAATGTGTCTTGGAAGAAGTACAGCCAGAATGCTTCCTGGAGACGAGGATGGTGAGACTTCGTCTCATGTTCTTTGGACGTGTTAGCAGGAGAGACCAGTCCCTGGAGAGGGACATCATGCTTGGTAAAGTAGAGGGTCAGCAAAAAAGAGGAAGATCCTCAACGAGATGGATTGACACAGTGGCTGCAACAATGGGCTCAAGCACAGCAAGGATTGTGAGCATGGCGCAGGACCGGGCTTTGTTTTGTTCTGTTGTACGTAAGATCACTCTGAGTCGGAACTGACTCAATGGCACCTAACAACAACAATATGCAACATATAATTACCTATAACTATCTTCTTTCAAAAAGAAAAAACATATTCTGTTAAAGGTTAATTCCTGTCCCAGACTCAGAAGGGCCTGTAATTTTTACAAACCTTGGATATATAAAGTTCAAAAGAGTTGATGTGTTTTAATATAGCTGTTTTGGAAAGTATTTTAATTTTTATATTTAATTTTAAAATATTAAGTAACTTCTCACAATGCTTTCTTATACATTTTAGAACAGTTTAGGAGAGCAGGTTTGTCCAGGATGTCTGATGTGCTGGGAAGGTCAGTACATGTATATGAACTGTGTTGGGTTGGACCTGTCAGTGTGTCTGGAGTAGCTGATATTTTTAGAGCAGTTTGTATGTCCAGACAGGTTAGCATGTCTGGAAAGACTGATGTGTCTATGGGAGATGATCAGTGCATCTAGAGAAACCAGAATATCTAGTATGTCTAGTGGTCTTCCATGGTGAGTCTATCTACAGTGTCCCAGACTTCATAATCCTGCATTTCTCCAAAGACCTCATGTGGAGGGTGACTTGCATGATTCTCCCTTGCTCCTGCTGAATATCACACATACTTCAGTTGTCCCAGCATCTCTCTCCTGCCTGGCTGGTTTATTCTTTTAGGGAATCCAGTCAGAGGAAGACTTTGTCCTTCTGCTATTGCACCTCCACCACACCCCAGAACCTTCATCTGCACTCAAAGTGCCTCACTGACTCAGGGAGTGGAGGATTGATCTCAAGGGTAGCCTGCCGCTCATGGAGCCTAACCAAGGCATCTCCATTCTGCCTCTCCTCAGACTTCCCTTGCTTTGTAGTCTAATGTAGCTCAGATTATAGCTCAGTCCCACTAATCACGAAGGCTTCACCAGCTTCCCTTTGCTGCCTCTGGCCAGAGTACTGGCACCAGTACTCAGTTGTCTTGCAAAATGAAATTAATATGTGAGGTGCTTAGCACAAAGTGATCATTCCAAAAGTGTTGAGGACCATTTACAAATGCCTTCTTTATATGTAAAACTTTTAGATTCCTTCACCCAGGTTCAACTGAGGCTGATTTTTCAGTGATGTGTAAATGTTTGTGAATTCACTAGCTAAAGGAATCCCTGTTCATCTGAACCAAGGGAACACATTAAAAGTATGACCAGGTAAAACCAGGAAAAATTTACCTAAGGGATTTATATAATTTTTTTCATAAAAATTGTTTTAACGAATAAGCAACTAAATCCCTAAAATAGTTTATTTTTTATCATATTGCTTGTTAATCTTATTGAACTTAACTCAGTGAAAAGATAGAAATATTTTACAAAATAATATTTTAGCTATGAGTTTTATAGAGTTCATAAAATGTTTCTCACTACCCTTCTTTAGGATAAACGTGACTCTACTATGAAAATCAGTTTCTATTTTTGGAGTTCAGATTTGTTTTTATTCCACGCAGTTTGTTAATAACAAAATTACAAATTAGAAAGATGGATCCTCAGGAAATGTACAGTTTGGTAAATAGGTAGAGGGCAGAATAGTTAATAAGCACTTTAATAAGCCTGATCGAAGCCACAGATACTCTTGAAATAAATAAATTATCTGGATATAAAAAAAAACCCAATGGCATTTTTTTTTTAATTATGAGCCTACTTAGGCTGATCAGTGGCCAGTTTTCTTATTTGCTTCTATTCTTTTGTGAGAATTATAGAAGGCATACTTGGTTTACGTTGGAGAATGCCTAACCAAATTGGCTATATTAGCAACATGGTTCCTCACAATTAAAAAAGATTTCTGAAGGATCTGATTCCATGCTGAACTAGAACACACATTCAAAATTCAGTGAAGAGTGAAGTAAACTCCAGAAATACCAATTATCTAGAAAGAATAATTTCTTATGTACTTCTATTTCTCTGCTATGCCTGTGACAAAATGGAAATAAAATGATATCGTGATTCAGACTTCCCATTTTTATAAAGTCATATATCTAAAAGGAAGAAAAATAGAGAAGTGTAATAATGTCCAAAATACACATTATAGCATTCATTAAGTAGATGAAATCATTTTCCCCTGAGTATTCATTACTTAGGGTCCCTGGCTGGCCTGGTTAAACACTCCACTGCTAACAAAAAGGTTGGCCCTTCAAACCCACCAGCTGCTCTGTGGGAGAAAGATGTGGCAGTTTGCTTCCTTAAATATTAGAGCCTTGGAAACCCTATGGGACAGTTCTACTCTGTGCTATATAGTTGCTATGAGTCAGAATAACATGACAGCAATGGGGGTGGTGCAAATGCTTAAGTGCTTGACTACTCGCTGAAAAGTTAGTGGTTCGAAGTCACCCAAAGGCTTCTGGAGACAGTCCTGGTGATCTGCTTTTGAAACCCTTGAACTGCCTTGAAAACCCTATGGAGCAGTTCTGCAGTGCATACGTGAGGTCTCCATGAATCCAAATTGACTGTATGGCAACTAACAACAACATTCATTATTTGATTGTTAATTTCTAAATCCTCTTGCTACAAGACTGTGTAGAAAAAAAATTTAAAAAGTCTCTTTTAATATTAATGCAAACTCAAACATGCCTCATAATTTAGTATTACTGTATTCATCTACTGAATCAATCTCTAGGAATCAGTCCCTTGATGATTGGCAGAAAATGTAATGCAAATACAATGCAAGTCAACTAAATAGTGGAATTAGAAATATTACCAACTATGTAGAATTTTATGAAATTGACGAAAGTGTTGTTGGATAATAGTTCCAATATTACACTATGGTCAATGAGGATTTGACAGAGTTAGACTGGTTAATATTGAAAAAGAGAAAATCAACAAGAAAGATCATATGGGAGACCTGTGATGGTTAATTTTGAGTCATTTTGGCCAGGCTATGGTGTCCAGTTGTTTGGTAAAGCACTAGTTTCATTGCTGTTATAAAGTAATTACATACAATTAAATAAATTGACCTCAAGTAAATTAGATTACCTTCCATAATGTGGGTGGGTCTCAATCAATCAGTTTAACACCTGAAGAGCAAAAAGAATTTCCCTAGGGTGAGTTCTGCCTCCAGAGTGTAAACAAACACTTTGCCAGAAGAGTCTTATTCTTCACTCTTCTTGTTGCCTGAACTACTCACTAGGATATCCCTGATTTATCATCCTGGTGTTCCTGTTATGCTTCCGGTATTTTACAATGTCACAATATCTATAGAAACAATAAGAGAAAGGAAAAAAGTCAATAAAAGTAAATATATATAAAGACATTTGGTATCCAATGACCTGGATCATTTATGTGACCATGTTAGTACCAGCTTGATTGTTTTATTATCCAAGACAAAGAAGAAGTCAGGCCATAATGATAAGAGAAATGCACGCCCTGTCCCCCCCACGCCATGGCTAAACTTCAGAACTATAGCTATTTGTATGAAAATAAGCCAGGAATTTCAGGATGTGTGAGTTTTTTTTTTTACTAGGGCAGATACAAATGAACAAAATTATAAAGAAGTAATGTCCAGGGTGTGTGTGTATTCCTCATTGGAAGCTACCTATTTATGACTAACTTTGTGGTCAGTTACCTATGAAGAGAGTGTCTAATTTTCAATATATCAAAATATGATATAGCTTCATATTTTGGTATTTTCTAAAGTCAGTGGAGTTATGACCCTTGCAGTTAGAGGACAGATCACAGAAAAGAACTGTGATGATTCTGAGATTATATGAAGCGATTTATTTACATATATGATACTATTTGGCTGTTCTAACTTGAGAATTACTGGTTTCAGCAAAGTTCCTACTAATGAAGAAACACTTCAGCTTCTGAGCATTTACAGTTTATGTGTTTAACGGTGGTGCTTTGTAACCAAAACAAACAAAGCATGTTATAATGTGGCTTGACAATTTTTAAACTACACGCGATCGCAATGGGTAATGGGTTTATGCTGAATTATACTATTAAGGCCCAGCAAGTGAAATATTAGATCTTATAATTGTACTTCTATTTAAACTGGAAAGTAAGTTTTTTTTCAAAGTCAAATACAAGTTTAGTGAGTGTGTCTAAGTTGAATGAAGCCCTCTTTAATTAAATTGTAACCCATCTCAAAGGAGCCATGGAGGTTCAATGGTAAAATGCTTGGCTGCTAACTAAAAGGTTGGCAGTTTGAACCCACCAGCCGCTCTGTGGGAGAAAGCTGTAGCAGTAGCTTCCATAAAGATTACAGCCTTAGAAACCCTATGGGGCAGTTCTACCCTGTCCTACAGGGTTTCTATGAGTCGGAATCAACTCTATGGCAGCGGGTTTTAACCCACCTCAACTTAAAGCGGGGGGAGGGTTAGAATAGAATTAATTGTGTGAGATGGAAATTCAGTTTTTGAATGACTCTTATTTTTTCTTATCCCAGTTATATGATACCAGGCATTATAATTTGTGTGTTGTTTAACAAGTTGTCTGTAGAATGTCTTTGTTATGAATCTCATAATTTGATTTGACAAATGGTTCAAGTTTTTATTTGGATGGACTATTCCAATCTATCAGAAATTCCATTAAAATGTTTACTATTCTAAGAAATGATTAAATATGTATGGAACAAAATTGTCTATAAAATCAATATAAATATCTCAATTACCACATATGCCCATATGTTAGAGTTATTACAGTTCAGGATATACATATTTTTGTGGAATAAGTGTCTTTAAATTGTTATATATTTTATAAGAAATGCAAAATTTTCCACCATTCAAGCTAGGAATGTAAATGTGACATAACATTCCATGAATAAAAGAGTAAAAGTTTAACATTAAAAGTTTAACAATAAAATCATAGGCCCTTTGCAAATAACATGAATGTGTTCAAGTCTGAGATAAGCAAGAGGGGTTCATTCCAGGAAAATAAGGATAGTTCAACATTTATAAATCAATCAGTCTAATTCATCATATTAACTGATGAATAAGAAAAATATATAATCATATAAATCACATTGTACCATCATATTATCATGTCATACCATCATGATATCAAGTGATCATATGACCATATTATATAATCATATCACCATATTAACAAATGAAAAACACATATGATCATATCAATAGATGCAGAACAGTCATTAAAAAAATTCAATGCACATTCATGATAAAAACTCTCAGAAACCTGGGAATAAAGATAACTTCTTTAACCTAATCAAGGGTACATATAGAAAAGCTCACAGCTATCAGACTTACAGAACACTTTCTAAGATTGGAAACAAGTTAAAGAAGTTCTCTCTTGTTACTTCAGTTTTGACTTCATACCAGAAGTGCTAGCTACTGCAATAAGACAAGGAAAAAAAAATCTATACAGATTGAACAGGAAGACATAGAACTATATTTATTCACAGATGCCATCATTTCTCTTGTAGAAAACCTCAAAGCATCTAAACAAAATGTAGCAAAACAAAACAAAACAAAAAAAACTCCTGGAACTAAGAAGGTAGTATAGGAAGGTTGCAGGATATAAGGTCAATACCCAAAAGTCAATTGATTTCCTATATACAAGCACTGAACATTAGAACACTGAAAATTAAAAAACAATAAAATAAATACTGTTTACAATAGCACCTCCCCCTAAAGTAAATGAAGCACTTAGGTATAAATTATATATATATATATATATATACATATATATACATATATATGTATATATATATATATACATATGATCTATATGTGGAAAGTATAAAACATTGATGAAGGAAATCAAAAAAGATCTAAGGAAATGGAGAAAGGGTCCATATTCCTGAATGGAAGACTCATTATTGTTAAGATGTCATTTTTTTTTCCAACTTGATCTATAGATTCAAAGCAATACCACTCAAAAAACTTTTTTTTAATATATGGACAAATTGATTCCAAAGTTTTTATTAAAAGGCAAAACCTAGAGAATCTGACACAATTCTGAAAGAGGAAAAGCAGAATTATAAGATTCATATTATCTAACATCATGACCACAGCAATCAAGAAGGCATGGTTGTTGTTGTTAGGTGGCATTGAGTGGATTTTTGGCTCATAGAGACCCCACATGGCAGAGTAGATACACTGATCAATAGAACATATAAAGAATCCATAAGTACCCATACAGATATGGTGAGCTGATTTTTGACAAAGTTTCCAAGGGTATTCAATGGAGACAGTATAGTCTTTTCAAAAAATGATGTTGGAAGAATTGGATATCCATATGACAAAAAAAGAAAGTAGATATAGAGCTTACCCATTTCCGCACAGTGTGTTCTGACTCACAGTGTCTACGAGACAGAGTAGAACTGCCTCATAGGGTTTCCAAGTCTGTAATCTTTGTGGAAGCAGACTGCCACATCTTCCTCCCACGAAAGGGCTGGTGGGTTCAAACTGCTGACGTTTAGGTTACAGCTAACCACTTAAGCACTATGCCACCAGGGTTCCTTGATATAGATCTTACACCTTCACTCAAGATAGGTCATAGATGTAATATAAATGCAAAACTATAAAACATCTAGAAGTAAACATAGGAGAAAATAGAAAAGAAAACAACAGGAGAAAATTCATGTGGCCTTGTTGTTTGGTGATGAGGTTGTGATAGAAAAACAAGGCATGATACATGAGAGAGAGAAAAAAATCATAGTTGAACTTTATTAAAATTTAAAAAGGTTTTCTCTGTGTAAAACACTGTTAAGATAAAAATATGCCATAAACTTGGAGAAAATATGTGCAAATCACATATCTGATAAAAGACTTGTATCCAGAATATACGAAGAACTTTTAAATTCAGCAATAAGAAAACAAACAACCCAATTAAAAAATGGGTAAAAAATCTAAACAGACAGATATCTCACCAAATAAGGTATACTGATGGTGTATACTCATGTAAAAAGATGCTCAATGGCATTTGCCATTGGAAACAGGAAAATTAAATCAATAATGGGATACTACTGCACACTTATTAGCATGGTTAAATTCCAAAACTAATTCATCTCAACAGCTGGCAAGTATGCAGAGCAATAAGAACTCTCATCATTGCTGGTTGAGAAACCATAAGGTTTCATTGATTAGTTTTCAGAAACAGATTGCCTGGCCTTTCTTCTGAGGCACCTATGGTTGGACTTGAACTGCTAACATTTTGGATAGCAGCAGAGCACATTAACTATTTGCACCACCCAAGGATTAAGTATAGTATCTATCACATTATTGTATTGTTACTTGTCTATTTTCCCCACTAGGCTGGGGGCTTTTTGAAGGCAGACACAGTGCCTTACTTTTCTCTGTACTCTTAGCATTCAGTAAATGTCTGCCATGTTGTAGGCACTCAGTAAATGTGTAACTATCTCTCATGAACATTTGTACTAAACATGTGTCCCAGCGAGTCAATTTTTTACTTATAGTGACCCCATGTGACAGAGTAGAACTGCCTCATAGAGTTCTCTAGGTTTTAATCTTTAGGAGAGCAGATCACCAGGTCTTTCTTGCTTGGAGCCACTGAGTGGACATGAACCACCAACCTTCTAGTTAAGAGGAGAACACTTAACCATTTGAGCTGACAGAGTAAACAGCACCTTATTCCATCTTTTTATATCCTCCATCAGTTCTTGGACCATGGTTTCAGAAATGACATTTAGATTGTTTATATAAAATTGCCCGTAAAGATAGTAAGAAGAAGAAACATGTGGGTTTGAGCAGATGCACACACATCATCACCCTAAGGCAGGCTCTCAGCTACATGTTTTTGACTTTCTAAAAACACATTTATTTGATTGAATTCCAATATAAAAGGTGATAGTAATATTAAACCAAGAGTAAGCAAAACCAATATTTTAAATGTTATATTTGCCTCTATATTGGCGTCAATTTATCTGTTAAATTTATAATTTAAAAAATCTGTTGCAGTCAAGTCAATTCTGACTCATAGTGACCCTATAGAAAAGAGTAGAACTGCCCCACAGGCTTTCCAAGACCGTAAATCTTTATGGGAGCAGATTGCCACATTTTTCTCCCATGGAGCAGCTGATGAGTTAGAACTGCAGACCTTTTGGTTAGCAGCCAAGCACTTAACCACTTCGCCAACAGGGCTCCTCAAAATGTGTTCAGGTTTTGGACTAAAAGGGGGTGCTAAGGAATCATTTTATTTATAATGAAGTGTTTCTGGTGTTTAATTATCAAACTGTAATAATTGTAAAAGTTTACTGACTGACTAGTAATCAACTTTAATCAATGTTCTCCATGGTACAGGCATGAATCACTTTAATAACATAAACACACACATATATACAGACATACATACCTAACTCATATATTTAAAATAGATATGAAATGAATTAAATCTACAATGATTGCAGTATATGATGCTTCAGACTTTAGTATAAAAGTAGCTTTTAACATTCATGGTAAACCACTCTTAGTACTTGCCTAAATTGACTGAATGGAGTCCATTTTTGTTTCCTTTTATTTTTATTATTTGTGGCTATGGTTGTTTTTAGATCAATTGGTCTCACTGTTTTTGGAAATACTGGTTAATGTCAACTAAATTATCTCTCGTAAGTTAACTATAATGAACAACTACTTCATGTACCTGACTGTATTCTAATTTAGCAAATGTAACATATAAACCAGTACCATCCTTTGTTTCTTAGATGTCTCCCTGGATTTTCTGGCCAATTTTGTGAAATTAATATAAATGAATGTTCGTCATCACCATGTCTACACAGTGCAAATTGTGAAGATCAAATCAATGGATATATTTGCAAATGTCAACAAGGTAAATATTGATAAAAATTTATCAAGCATACTATATGTATATACATTATAAATATATATGTGTATATATAACATATAATATATTAAGTACAATTTTTATATATATATATATATAAAACAATTTTGAGAATCTCTCCCACCAATCAGTTGTTGGCTATCAATCACATTCTAGGCAATTATTATTCTTAAAAACATGAAATTGATATTATATGATACTAGAAATCAATCATTTAGTCATCAGCAGAAAGTTCTAGGACTTGAACTATTATATTTCACTTACTGGATTTTCTAAATTTCTATAAGCCTCAGATTCTTGATCTCCATCTATATCAATGATGGCTAGCAAAAGATAAATCGTTTATAAATGTTAGTTCTTGTTAATATTGACATTATTATTACTTCTAACAATTGTGCAGAGCTGGGCAAGCTGAGTAAACTGATTTTGTTCAAGAATAATTTCTCATTATTAGCTAGTCTTTTCAGCCATTTTTGCCTTTGGCCATATTCTCTTTAGCTCTATGTTGATATAAACAATTTGTGTCAAAGTCTTCCCTGTTCCCAGTTCTCTAACTTTTCTGATTTGTTGCTTTCTTACTGTCTTCTGCTGCTTATCTTATCTTCAACATTTAGTTGCATCCACCTAAAAAAGCTGTTGAATGCCTGGATTTCCTTGAGCATCTATATCTTCTCAGGAATATAACTAGAAATATTTTTATTCATTTGAAAAGGACTCTATCTACATACCCCACAGACGATTTCAGACAGCTTGTGACTACCTCAGTTTTCTGGGCTTCTGGTTATTGGCATCCTGAGGGAATATCAGCCAGGCAGCCATGTGAGTGTTAGGGCTCCTGTGATTTACATATGAGTTGGAATCGACTGGACGCAATGGGTAGAGGTAGTAGTATGATTTACGTGAAATCTTACGATATTAGTAAATACCTCTCAATTTAGTACCACACACATGAAGTTTTCAAGTTCAACGTTCACTCAGAGTTCTGCTCTGTTTTGGCACACTGCATATTAGGTTTTATTTTGTCAAACGGACCATCTGGAGACCTTATCTCCTGCATTTTGACATAGTCACTTGCATTTTGACATTGTCAACTGTTGCAGGTAAAAAAGTAGAATGAAGATTACAGTTTTCTGATGTAAGAAATGAATACTATTTTGAAAGTTTTGTCTCTTCCAAGAAAAATACTTTTATTGAGGTCTGACTATTTAAAACCTTATGTTAGCTATTATAAGCGATGGAAATAATCCTAGAAAATAATTAAGAATAAAAATAATAATAAAAAACATAAATCAGATTTGTTTATCATGTCAATACATACCTTATTATTGCCAGTTTAATTTTTCATGTTAATATATACCCTATCATTGTTAAGATTAATTTTGATGCTCCAAGATTCCACTTATTCTGCATTCACTTGGAAACATGGAGCCATTTTGATGCAGTCCCAGTGTTCAAATGAAGCCTCATGCTGTATGCTTCTCCTCAGGTCCATAGTGAGAAGCAGTAGGCCTCAAAAGATACCCATCTGTGCTGTCAGATGTTACACAGAATTTGCTAGTACTTTTGACTTAAGATTTAGACTATTTACAACATAGTCATAGGAACAAAAACCAACCACCCAACCAATCAAACAAATTCTTGAAAAATTATGTGGATGCCCTTCCATACCTCTGCCCTTGCCCCTGAGGACTCTTTCTAGCCATAATTCTTATGGCCCTTAAGCATGCCAAACTATCCCCTCTCTCTGCAATTATTTAAGTAATAATCTTGCTTCTAGAGATTGTCCATCATTTCTTCCTTGTTTTCATTAGTGACATTGTTTGTTTCTTCCACAGTCTTTTTTCCCCCTACAGTGAAATTCACTCTTCTGGTGTACAGTTCTATAGTTTTGACAATTGCATAGATTTTATAACCATCACCACAGCCAGTCATGTAACTGTTGCCCCCAACATTTTGCTTGTGCTACCGCTTTGTTGTCAGACCTTTCCCCTGTCCCAACATAAATTGATTTTTATAAAATCATATTTGTTTTATCATTTTTGCCTTTGACAGATTCATCTGTTATTGAGTTTTTCTTTCTCTTGTACTCTGAATTTTAGGTTTGAAGGCCAAATGTGTTTAGGAAATAACAATTTTAATAACAATAAAAATAGTAGTACATAGACACCGTGCAGTTTTATGTACATTAACTCAATTAATTTCATAACAATTTTTTTTAGTAGGTTCTGTTATTATCCCATTTTATCAATGAGGAAATGGAGTCCCAGTCAATTGAGTGTTCTCCCTACAGGAGGTTAGTGGAGAGCTGGAATTCACATCCAAGAAATCTGGCCTGATGCTTGTGTTCTCTTATGTTCCCCAGAGAAGATTTCTTTGCCAATAAGAACAATCTGAGTGGGAAAGTCTAGGCTGGATATTAACAATTCTTACCACTCCAAATTCTCCAGGAAGGTCTTCCATCCAGATATGACTGATTTTCTCCTGAGAAGCTTCAAAGAGAAAACATTTAAAAGAGGTTCATAGCAATTTGACAAATGCTATACAAAGACACAAAGGCTGACACATTTGATTTAGAAAAGTTCAGTCTTCTCTCTCATCCATGGAGCAGAAAACAGTCCATAAACTTCAATGTAAGATTTGGGCACAAATAATTCAACTCCTGTCTTACATCAATATGTTTTCAGATATAAAGGGATTAAACAAGCAAGTTGAGATAGGGTAAGATAAATGCAAAGACACGTGGAGATCTCCAAGGAACCAGGAAACAGAAGCTAAAGAGACACAGGACTCTCTTCCAGAGCCAACAGAGAGAGAAGCCATCCCACAGAGCTGGTGCTCTGAATTGGGAATTTTAGCTTCTTACCCACTGTTATCAAGTCAATTCCAGCACAGTGACACCACAAGTTTGTAAATCTCTACGGAAACAGACTGCCACCTTTCTGTTGTGGGGCCACTGGTGGTTTCTAATAACCAACATTCTTGTTGAGCAATTGGTTGCTTTAACCACTGTGCCAAACAAAATAAATTTCTGTTTGCTAAATCCATCCACTTGTGGTATTTCTGTTATAGCAGCATTAGATAATCAAGACAGAATATGGTACCGGGAGTGGGGTCTAGCTCTAACAAATATCTACAATGTGGAAGTGATTTTTGGATTGCAACTCGAGACTATCAGTTTGCCATGTTGTGGTGGCTTGCATGTTACTGTGATGCTGGAAGCTATGCCACTGGTATTTCAAACACTAGAAGGGTCATTCATGGTAGACAGGTTTCAGAGGCACTTCCTAACTAAGACAGAGTAAGAAGAAGGACCTGGCAATCTACTTCTAAAAGGGTTGGCCAGTGAAAACATAATGAATAGTGGCAGAATATTGTTTGAACATTGCCAGAAGATGAGTCCGTCAGGTTGGAGGACACTCAAAATACGACTGGGGAAGAGCTGCCTCCTTAAACTAGAGTCAACCATAATGGCATGGATGGAGTAAAGCTTTCAGGACCGTCATTTGCTGATGTGGCAAGACTAAAAATGAGCAGAAACAGTAAAAAACATCCATTAATAATTGGAACATGGAGTGTATGAAGTATCAATAAAGGAAAACTGGAAGTTGTCAAAAAAAAACTAGGCGAACATGAAGATCGATATCCTAGGTAATAGGGAGTTGAAATGGACTGGTATCGGCCACTTTGAATTGGACAATCATGTGGTCTACTATGCAGGGAATGACAAATTGAATAGGAATGACAGCACTCATTGTTAAAAAGAACATTTCAAGATCTATTCTGACGTACAATGCTGTCAGTGATAGGATAATATCCATACACCTACAAGGACAACCAGTTAATATGACTATCATTCAAATTTTGTGCATGAACCACTAAAGTCAGAGATGAAGAAATTGAAGATTTTTACCAAATTCTGCAGTCTGAAATTGATCAAACATGCAATCAAGTTGCATTCATAATTACTGGTGTTTGGAATGTGAAAGTTGGAAACAAAGAAGAAGCATCAGTAGTTGGAAAATATGGACTGGGTGATAGAAATGACACTGGAGAGCTCATAATAGACTTTTACAAGACCAACAACTTATTCATTGGAAATACCTTTTTTCAACAACATAAAAAGCAACTATAAACCTGGACCTAGCCAGATAGACTATACAGGAACCAAATCAACTACATCTGTGGAAAGAGACAATGAAAAAGCTCAATATCATTGGTCAGAACAAGGCCAGAGGTTGACTGTGGGACAGACCATCAATTGCTCCGATGCAAGTTCAAGTTCAAGCTAAGCAAATTAAAACAAGTGCACAAAAGCCAAAGTACAATCTTGAGTATACTCACCAGAATTTAGAGACTATCTCAAGAATAGATTTAACACATTAAACACTAATGACCAAAGTCCAAAAGAGTTGTGGGATGACATCAAGGACATCATACATGAAGAAAGCAAAAGATCATTAAAAAGACAAGAAAGAAAAGACCAATTGGTTGTCAGAAGAGACTCTGAAACTTGCTCTTAAATATAGAGTAGCTATACACAGAAAACCCCAAAGAATCCACAAGAAAACTACTAGAACTAATAGAAGATTTCAGCAAAGTATCAGGATACAAGATAAACATACAAAAATCAGTTGGATTCCTCTACACCAACAAAGAGAACTTCCAAGAGGAAATCACCAAATAAATACCATTTACAATAGCCCCCAAGAAGATAAAATACTTAGGAATAAGTCTAACCAGAGACGTAAAAGACCTATACAAAGAAAACTGCAAGGCACTACTACAACAAACCAAAAGAGACTTACATAAGTGGAAAAACATACGCTGCTCCTGGATAGGAAGACTCAACATTGTGAAAATGTAGATTCTACCCAAAGTGATCTAGAGATACAATGATCTACAGATACAATGAAATCCAAATTCCAATGACATTTTTTAATAAGATAGAGAAACAAATCACCAGTTTCATATGGAAAGGGATGAGT